TGCTGAACTGGGTCGTGTAGCATATATGCCAATCTAATAATTTACCATGGTCTTTTACCAAATTCAAATGAGCATTGCATCATTCCAAGAACAAAACTTTGACTTGTCACCACCTCTCCTTTGAGACCTCATAAATATTCTATCAGAATATGCTGTCTGGCGAAAAAAAAGGTGATTGATCTATTTTGTCTTTAACAGTATAAGACGAAGCTCTCAAACCTGTCATATCCTTTGTATATGTAAGTACAATGTCCCTGGGTTGTTTCTACTTCTACATTTTCTATTAAGCACAAGCAGACCATCTCTCATTTTCTGAAGCAATAGTTGTAGATGGCCTATGTTATCTAACCTAACCTTCTTGTGCCAAGGGATAGCGTGTGCTGAGTCTCCTCTGCTTGTGGGCAACTCCAGCCTTTTACCTGTAAACCAGAAATCAGCATCCATTATGTTCTCTATGGAAGAATATCCACATTTGGCATAGCCAAAAGGACAAGAAATAATGCATTTCTATCTCATTTCCAGTCTTTCCAAGCCTTGTATCTGCACATATGTATTAGAGCTGTCATTTGCTGTGTGCTGCAAGTTCAGCAGATGATTGTTTTCATCTTGGGACATGCCAAGCACACAGGGCAGTTCATCTCCATGTTTTTTCTTGTGGACCGTTTTAATAAGTAACTAGAAATTTGGAGCATGCAGTATATGGTTGAGCTGCCTCCACCAGCTGTCTTATGAATAATGTACGTATCTTTGATTTCCTTTCTATCTGAACAGTGGCTGTGTTGGTGCAGTAAGTTTTGAAGACAATGACAATGCTGACGTAGACTTAATCCCACTTAATAATGTGCAAATTTCAAAGCCTCTCTACACGAGCACTGCACAGTATGTTTCTCTTATTAGCAGGATTTTGATACTGCTTCTTGAGTTCTTGTTACTTGGGAAAGGGGGAAAAAAAAGTCAAAGATCTGGTCTTGGGCCAAAGAATAAAAAGAAATGGGGGGAATGCTCGTCATTCTTTTTAATAACTTGAATGAGGTCTGTTGGCATAGGAAGCACAATGGGCTTTCAGACACAAGGTTGAATTTGAAGAGTCCTTTTTAATAACTGGGTCAGTAGTAAATGGCCTCCAGTGATAACTGCCTACAGTGGTCAATGCAGCTCTGTATAAATCTGAGGGACCATTCAGCCTAGATATACGAAATTAGTCAAGGAAGCTGATACAGAATGAGCAGAGAGATGTCTACTGAGATGGTGGTGTAACAGATTTTATCCATCTACTTGTGTTATAGTAAGCTTAAATACAACCTGTTTTGACTAAGTATGAATTTATCATAGAACATTAAGGCCTGATTCTTTATTGTATCACATTTATGTTACAGTTTCAGGGAAATTACCCTCCTAACACAACGCATCATGCTTTTCAACCACAAATGTTGATTAGGGTTTTATTTCATCCAGGAGTTGCTCTATGGTCGAAGTGACCCTGCCATCCGTCTAGTACAGAATGGTCATAATAGACTGGCAATAATTGACTGTTGGACCAAGGCTACCCTTAGTGTGCCCATTCTGGGAAGTAAAAGCTGCCTGTGGTAACACCAGTGCAATATACTGTCTTGGTGTAGTGAACTCTTCATGATCAGCTGACTCTGACCTAGGCTGGGGTGGAATTCGGAATATAGTCTCCCTCCTGCTGTTAAGCTTGCTAGACTAATTGCACAACCAAGTTTTAAGAATTCAGCAGGCACCTTGCCCTTTTTCTCAGTTGAGAAAGGCTGCATGTGAAGCTGGTCTGAGCACATCTGCTAGATCATACCCCAAAACACCTGACTTGTGGTTCCGAATGATGCTAAGTGTACCTAACACAGACATTCCTGTAAATGTCCAGCAGAAAAAAATGTATTTGTGTTACATTCAAGGCTCAAGTGGGGAGGACACGGAAGAGAAGGTTCTGAGCTTAGCACACACCAGAAATTTCTGCTGATGCCATTCTGAATAGAGTCCTTACTTCCAAAAAACCCTATGTTTATTTTCAAACTATGACATACTTTCATACTGCAAACGCTTCCTGTTCTTTAGTATTAATAGCAGGTCTGTTGAGTAGAAGTACATGTGCCGTTCTGTGATGGGTATTGCAACTTGAATATTGCCGTGATAAAAATGTGTGATTTTTAACTTTAGCCACTAGATGGCCTTTGAGTTCGCAAAAGCTCCCTGAGTGCCGTTAGGAACACCCAACTTGTAGCTAGATCACGAGCTCTGACATCTAAAGGTTTTCACTTTAAGCCTTTCCTAAAGTTCCCCTTAGTAGCTTGAGCTGGTATTAAGCACGTATTTGCAAATTTTTGAGAAATTAAAACAGTAGAAGTAACAATATAATGGTAAGAGCTAAAAATCATAAAACAAGAGGAAAGCGACAGTTCTGTTTACTTAATCAGATTTTCTCTTTGCATAGGCCTTTCCTTTCTGTCCTTTCAGTGGCCTTGCACAGTCCCCATTTGTGACAAAACTACAGAAGGGATACTTTGTTGGGGGAAGCAGAGGGAGAGAAACTGTAAAAATATTTCCCTCTCTGTTCTGAAGAAAACGCATAATGCTGGGCGTTACTCACATACGGCAGAGCGTGTGCTAAACATTCCTAGTTGCTGGGAGCTGCCTTGGAAGTAGCTGGAATTTATGATCTCTGCCTTAAGTCTGTTTTTTACATCAGTTTCAGGGAGAATGCACATTCTTTTGTAATGCATCACATGCTGCCACACTTGTGAGGAATGGCACATCATTCTTCACACAGCCTTACTCACTACAGCAGTACATTCACGGGCAAAATAAGGTGCTAAGCATTGTACAATGGTCAAGTTTGACCCATATTACTGCAACCGAACCTATTAATGTCAACCTTTTATGTGCATAATGTACCATTCTGATTATTTTATCTCACCTCCTGCATAAGTCATCTGATTTCTCACAGCCTTCACCTAACGTGTAACTTCTGCTTGAATTAGAACATTAAAAGAATATAAAATGATTGTTAAGAAATGAGCTTTAAAAATAAAATAAATATTTAAAAATAAAAAACATATAGGATACAACATAGTACTGAACAGATTTCTGAGTTTGAAGGGAAGTTAGGAGAGCTATTAACCCTTAGTTCTGCCATGTCGTGCTGCTGTTGCTGTAGAGCTTTGAAGACTAGAAGCTGATGTGTACACTGTGCTGCAAACAGACAGATGTGTAGTCTGGAACTCGTTGCAGTGTATGGTATCATGGTGGATTTATAAGTTTGAGCAACAGGTTCTGTATTACCTTATCCGGTATTCTCCATGTCATTTTCCTGTTTTTTAGTGAGTGAGGCCATGGGTTTCATTGATTTCTGGCAACCAGGAGACCAAGATTTCTGAGACCTAAAAGATTCTGACACCTCAAAGCTGTGAAAAACTCAATTCCACCTGAAAAATTCTATTAAGTTCTTCATAAAATATATTTATTCTCTGTGATTATCAGACACCAAGATTGCTATGATTTTAAGCAGAGGAAAGAAGAAAGTCAGAAAGGAGACATAAAAGCGATCCCTGTAATTTTTTTTTCCACTTTGTATGTTTGCCAGTAGCTCTGGAAAGATGTGTAGGTATCACGGCTGCTAGACACCCACCAAAATCCTTGAGAAGTTAGATATACGCTTTGGATTTAGAAGCCTAAATATGCTTTGTAAGTCTGTAAAATATAAAAATCTCTTTGTAGATAGCCACTTTCACTCTTTCACGGACTAGCAGTTGCACTTCCTGCCTCTAGCACTTGGGCAACAGCATCGGTGCTCAGGCATTACTCTGGAGTGAGACACTATTCTTCCCCAGATGACGCAAGAATGTGGTTGCCATTCAAATTAATAGCAAAGCTGAAACTAGCTAAGAGTCATCTGTCATGTAATTTTGCAGAGACAAACAGGAAGAGTGGTGAACCTGGGCATGTTTTGTATGTTACCCTTGTGCCCACCCTCTCTTCCTTTTGGCAGAACAGGAAACCATCTTCTGTTTTTCTTCTTTTTTCTTAGGGAATTAGAAAAAAGATAAAAGTCATGACTTAGGCTGCAGTTGAGCCTAAAAGCCCCTAGACTGAGACCAGAGTTGTGAAAAGCTGCTGTGCCTATACCCAGCACTCTAAATAATACTCTGAAGTCTACCGTGCAGTTTAGAAGTTTTAGAGGTGGGAATCCACGTACAGTGGGATTAAGTGGTTTGCCAAATCCCACTGGGAATCTGTAGCACTGTTAGGAATTAAACTTCATGTATCCTTGAGCCCTAGCCTGTGCCTTTTTTTTTTTTACCAAACTCTGAGCTTTATGCTGTTGAAATGCTGCTTTGCTGAAACTTGGTTTTAAAAAATAATAATTAACACAAAATGACGGCCATGGTTCTTAAAAGTTAGACCATAGTTCTTAGAAGTTAGGCTGAAACACAAGTGAAGACTTAGGAATCTAAGTAATTTTTTATCCAGTTTTTTTCTGTGGTTCAGACATGGAATAGCTGTGGGAGTCTTTGCCACATGTAAAATGCCACGTCATAAGTGTTGTGACTTGTCTAGAAGCACTAAATTTAAGAGTCTGAATTTACTAATCAAAACTATGTCCATGATCTGGTGGCAGTCTAGGCTGATCGGTGGGCATTTCCCTAAAGGAGCTGTGGAAATGCTTTTCTCGGGTCAGACTCTTCATCTTCACACATGACCACTGATCCTGGATGGTAATTCAGTTCCTGTCATTCTCTTCTAGGCTTTCATTAAAGTCTGTCTTGGGGGAAAGGGATCAATTATATCATCTCTTGTGGTCTCTTCCAGCCCTGGAATGTAGCATCATTCTTAATATCCTGGGTTTGTGTATGCGCTCCTGAATCTGATTTAGGATGAACTTGTTCCTCTCTTTCATCCTTGGTTATGTTGCAATGTACACCTAAAAGCTAGAATCTTCTATAATTTCTTTGCCAAGGACAACATACAAATCTTTAAAAAAAAAAAAAAAAAAAAAGAGCTGGTCAAAAAATTAGGAAGTTGTGAAAGAGCACTCTGAAAATCTCTTTGTAATGCAGTCCTTTTCCACCAAAAGATCTCCAAAACCCTTTTATAAAACTTACCATGATCTCGTCTTACAGCTCAGTGCTCCATCAAGTGGACTACATTGTCAGAGCACAGGAGTTCTAGCTTGAATCTTGTCTTTTTATGCCACTAAATAGCAAGGTTCCAAATTGAATGGTTTGGTGTTTTTTTGTATTTTCATTGTATGTTACTTTGTGTAATTTTTTTAGGTATACTGGACAACAGTTGTCCAGTGGATCAAGTGGCTTTTGTTGTATTTTTAAATTTACTGATTTTTGGTGCATAGTTTCTTCTTCTTGTGGGTTTTTTTTCCTACTTTCTCCACTTGTCTGCCTACTTTAAACTCTCTTCTTGTATTTCCTTTCTTTTCTTTCAAACCCATGAAGTGTGAATTCCATTGGAGTCAACGAGTTAAAGGTATCTGCTTAGCAAAATTTACTGAACAGGGATAGAATTGAGTATCTGTTCATATTTTTGCAGAACTGCGACCTCTGTGATTTGTTTTGGAAGACTTTGGAGTTTGAATTGATTATGTCTGTTTTCCTTGGTTATTTTTTTCTTTGTTTCTTACTGATTTGATTATTAATTATTTGCTTACAATATTTATTTATTTGTGGAAGATGAATACTGCATTTGGTTTTATATGTCACATAGCTAAACATATACTAGGTAAGGAAGCAACTGAGAGCTAAAGAGTATGTTTTGTGCAGCCAGCCAAGGCTTTCAAAAATAGCTCAGCAACCACACATGAAAACCAGAATTCTGAAAGGGCTCACATTCTGGGTGCATGTTGATTGCTA